CCTACCTCCTATCTCGAATAATACTCATTGTATAACAGTTGAATTAATTCATTTATCCAGTCTACATTAAATTTATGATAAATATATGAAGTCATGGCCATCGGCATAAATAGGATGTCCTTGAAGTTTGGCGGACCGCTTTCCTATGCTATTGTTCAAATAATTTGACTCCAAGCGAGGCCGAATCATCTGTCCAAATCTCTAAATGTTTTACGTCAAATTAATCATCTGTGGGGCTACACGTAGTAGGTAGTTAAAAAGATTTAAAATATTAACAAGGAACACAATTTTAAAACATTCAGTTTTTTTGTTTTTACATTTATTTGATTTTGAAAATTATTACTAACTTGATGATTTCATATATCTGTTAATAATACGACTCAAAAATTAAGACTTTAATTTCACGTTTTGTGGTTATAATTTGTACAAGTAATAACACATTATACCATATTTGAAAATTAAATTTTTTTTCATTAAAACGCAATATACAGCTATAATCGATAGACAGCATGTTGGTGATTAAATATTATTACTTGTAAATATTATAATAACTAAACACTATTATCTATTAAAAAAAAAAAAAATCATGTAATTGAACATTAGATTGACGGTTTGGCAGAATTTAGGTCACACATAAATTATCTTAAGTTCGTTTCGCCGCTATCGTCATGGGATGTCACATCTAAATCGTCATTCGTTTCATAATAGTGTCCCACGTGCTTGTATATTCTAATATTATTATTATTATTATTATTATTATTATTATTATACCTATTTGAAATCAACCGAAAATACGATTTCAATGAAGGCGGTGGACACGTATTATTGTATGAGTAATTTTATTATCGTTACACCGCCGAACAACTTACGCACTTTACTAGTTATGGGAATTAATATTACAAACTCTATGTTTCCAAACATATATTATGTAATATATACGTACAAGTATATACATCGACATAAAATGCTGTACATAGGTAACGTAAAATATGTGACTATATTGTACCTACGTTAGCATTGAAGCCATGGTGTGTATATAAATATCGAATATCCATTATCCTGTATCGTAATGCGCCTATAGTGTTGTTTAAGGATTATGAAATAAATTATGCGACCGAGTGCTATAGTGGATGATAACTTCCTGGAATTAGGATCGGTCCGTAGAGTGAACAAAAATATTTCGGCCGGTTAACTAAAATTTGATTTAAACGTTTCTATTGGAGATTCGAAACTCGATATAATATACTTTCTCATATTTCATGAACACTACACATATAGTTATAACTTATGACTTGCTATGGTTCGTTCATATATGTATAAAAACAATTATAATAGTATGCGTATAACCTGCAATAGCTTACCTACATGCACAACATATAGGTAGATGACTTAAAATCTAGTTTCTGTAAAGACCCTTCAATTTTTGTTTCGACAACCCATAAAAATATGGATACCCAATCACTTATAAATTTTATTGTATTTACACCACATGGATTAATATAACATAGGTAATGCCAATATCACTAACGCGAAACAGTCGTGTTTTATTTGCGTTGATTATAATTGATAAAATCCATCGTAATCCCAGTTCGAAATATCATTCCATGGACTTATTAATTAAATAGGTACCTAATTATTAGTTAAGTCAGTTTAGGATTAAATATTGATGTATAATACCCAATTTCAAATGTTCCTCATCTGTATTATGCTCACATAAAATAAATAATTTATCATGTGAATGTCACTAACAACCTATAACATCCTTAACTCATTGATTTCTAATGGATCTGCAATATATTTTATTATTATTATTATTATTACTTGAACGACTACGTCATCCGTCATGCCATGTACATTTATTTTATTCTGATTGGTCATTGTGATCGGGGTATCATCCACTATAAGCACCATCGACCGATGAAATCCCGCTAAGTTGGGCCGAGCTCAACTTTTTGACTCGACACGACCGACGATGTGTACCTACGCCATGTAACTGTGAACCAGCATTTACTTTAATAGTTAGGTACCTAGGTTGGGTTTATGAATAAATTATACGTTGATATAAAATTTGAAAATAGCTTATTAAGAATTAGGATCAATTATAATAAAAATATAAAATACTAAATTAAGTCAATTATAAGATTATAAACTCATTTTCAAACTAACTACTATATTAGACCTCAATTATACTTTTATTTTAATTTTCAAAATGTTCTATAACTTTTATTCGTTTAAGTGGCTTTTCAGATTTCTAAACATATCTATGCCTGGATTGTCTTTTATCTTCGTTGTCTATCCGTTACCAGCACATAATTACGATTGTCGATATTATGATACCTTTACTTAATATTCATAGTTACTCAACATAAAAGTGCTTAATAGTGACAATTGTTTATAATAAAATATTTTATTACCACGAAAACTTTTTTAATTTTACATAATATGAAATTATAATTTATTGCACGTTGTATTAAAATTTAAAATACGTTCAGAAACTGAAAATTTAGCATGCTCGCAGAGTGAGCTTTTCTAAATTATTATTTTATTTTTATAAGAGGGTTACAATTACAAAATGTTGTAAATCCTATTACCTAATAAGCAAAACAATTTTTTTTGCTATAATTATTAAAGTTCCATTGATCATTGATCCAAAAACTTGCAATATCTTCTATACTATAGGGACGGCCAAACAGCCGATCGCTGGCGATTTCAAAGTCGATCGTGTTAGAATTTATTTTTAGGCTACGCACACGAAAATTAATTATGGTAGTATAGTAACTTAATGATAAAAAACTTTCGATCCTCAAAGGTGAAGTATATATTTTTAGTAGATCGCGGCTAAAAATAGTTTGGCCGTCCCTATTCTACACTGTGCGTACTGCGTTATGATACATATGTAAAAAGACTGTTCAGTAGGTATCAATCGTACCTATTTAATAAATCTGATCATAGTTAATGCCACAAAATAATACAGTGTTAATATTAAGTAATAATATCTGATCGTTGAAAGCAATACTAGCTATTACTAATTAATAGTCATGAGCTCATAAAATTCGTAGTGAAATTATATTTTGTCAGTCTGTAAGTTAAAAATAAAAGCAATAACAAATTTTTCATTGGAGAGGTAATTCTAGCGCAATCCTAAAAATAATTAAGCCATTATCAAACAATAATAATTAATAAGCTATTATTACTGCTAAAAGCTACTGTAATGGCTGAGATCGTGTTTCAAATTTTCGTATATACAATTAAAATGGTCGTTTACGACGTCATCTTATAATAATAGGTGATTAAAGCATAACACAATAATATAATCATAACAGCATTATAATAATAAACAAAAGCAAAATTAATACCATATAGTACGATTTAAATTTTGCTTTAATCATTGATTAAATTAAACAGTTTTTTTAACAAACTTACCAGTTAGCAATACATCAAACGTTTTTCGAGTCTGATTTCTTATGGAATTTTTATAATATTCCGAAAATATCGAATCGCAATTAATTCAAACTAAAACTGTAAAATTCAATTAATAATTAAAACAAAATTGAAAATAAATTAAAGAAATAAACCTATTTCTACCGTATTTATTTTCTTTTGCTTACCATTGCAAAAGCTCTCTGTATAACTTTATCACCGGCCGGTATACAATATGGACAAATCATTGTTTTCTTTTTAGTAATTATGATGATGGAAATAACCCACTGTCGTTATTCACTTCAAAAATTTAGAAACAACTCCCCATTCCCCAAAGAAAATTTTCTGGGATAAACGTCCCACACTGACCTCGGTGAACACGTACCACGACTATTGATAACGAGTGATCCACAACTTTACACAGGTTTTATTGATATTTTTCATGCCAATAAATTTTGTAACATGATATATTATGATTATTGTAATGATAAACCAAAATAAATTATAATAGTAAGAATAGTGTATATAGATTAATATGTACGTATTTTCTAATTAGCGCTGGGATTTTGATATAAAGGTATCTTTTTTTCTGGTGTTTTGAAATGTTGGTTCGTAAGTATAAAATGAGTTTTGGGTAATACTGATTTATTTTAATGTAATTTTTTTTTTGCATCTTCTTGATGCATTTTTTGACTAAATCAACCATAAATGCATTTGTAAGGCATTTTTTGACGATTCTAGTGAATTTTCTTAGTTTTTAAAACATTTTTTACGATTTATTCGTGAAATGAACGAAAATTGTTGCGATTAACAAGAACTTTCGACAAACTGCCGACGCTATGAATAATAAATTATATCACGACAAGTTATCGTCGATAGCAAATATTTTATCATAGATAGGCCTTTCCGTTAATGATTAAGAAAAAACAAAAGATCATTCAATTAAACAAGTAACAATGCGTACAATACTATTAAAAAAAAATAAATACACTTCAGTAGTATCATTTAAAATTTTTTTTCCAATTTTTAAGAATATAATTTAAATGCATTTTTTAAGTTTTTTAAGTCATTAAAATCCCAGCCCAAATTATAATAATAAATCTACGTCCACTGGTCGTCGATACTACACTATCCGCAATCGTTGCAGAGTTCGTGATGTGAACGCATTAAACAAAATTATTGTACCTACACACCAACACCTATATGAAAAAAAAATAATAATAATAACAATAAAAGTGTACGCAAACTTAGATAAAATTGCGGAACACGTTTTCGCTTTTAAGACCCACGTCGCGGCCGTAAAAATATTATACTCGAGCCGGTCGTAACCGCGGTCACGGTGTGCGTGCGGGACGCGAACGTGCTTACGTGCCGCGTTCACGCGCTCCGGTCCGTATCGATTTTTGCGGCTTGGACGCCTCCTCCTCGCGGCGGGGGTGGCCGCGGCACAGCTGACTGGTATGCGTGCCGCCACGAGATGACGCGCGTCGTCGTCGTCGTCGACGTCAGCTGCGAGTGCCGTCGTGCTGCTCTACACTCTGCTTGGCGTCCGACGCTGCGCCGCACCGCCACGAGTTGTCGTTTAGCGGCCGTGTAAACAATGACGGTTTCATCACCGTCGCCGCTGCAGGTGCAGCAGCAAGCCGTCGCCGTCACCGCGGTCACCGTCGTCGCGACCGCGACCGCGGCGTTCCGGCTGTCGCTGGTGATGTTGCTGCTGTTGGACGTCGGCACCGCGTCCGCGTCTATATGCAAGTCCGGGCTGTGCACCCGCGAACAGTATTGCTGCGGCGACGGCAAGTGTTGCGACAACGTGTACAGCCTCTGGTACTTGTGGTGAGTACAACGTTTTTTCACTTTCGCCGTGAATTTTATTTCATCAACTTAACTGTTATTATAGTCTTGCCCGTGCACTCTGTCACGCCTCGCACCAATACCTTTAATTTTAGGCAAAATGTGTCCGACAGGTTACGTGTCGTCATGAAAAAAAAAAACGGAAATCAAATTTGCTTAAGACCTTTATAAGTGTTGCGAAAAGCAAACACGGGGACAATTGACTGAGATTTTCTATTATTATTATTATTATTATTATTGTTATTGTTATTATTCTTCTCGTCTGCAGTGGAGGTGTAGCCGTTATGCTGTTTGTCGTCGGTTCGTTTTGTCCGATCATCAGACAGTGCTGTTGTTTCCGGACCCCGGTGATCGTCAAGTACGTCCCGGTGCCCACGTCGCCGACTAAATTCGTGAGTATAATACCTGATACGGAGGATAGTATGATGGGATCTGGAGGTATCGCGTGCAAGGTAAACAGTATATTGGTCAGTAAGTGGCGGAACTATAGAAGGTAGCTGAGATGGTTGCGGCATTTCCAGAATTTCGGGAAAATTAAATAGTAAAAAATTATATGTTGATATTTCATAATTATAGTCACAAGTTATGAGGAATAAAACAAACAAACATTTATAGTTCATAATTCATATAATAATTCATACATTATATTTATTTTTATAGTAATATATTTAATTTTCCTAACTAGTCGACACAGTATGTAAAAAATAGGTCCCCGAGAGCAAAATGTTATCAACATCACTAATTTTAGGTACGGGAATAATGGAATGACCAAGCAACACGCTTATTTACGTAGTGCAACCGATTTTGAATCAAGTATATTATCGTTTCTGCTAATATCATTTAAGAAATTAAATATAGTATTGTTTTGCCAAGTAAAATCATCCTTTTAGAACACCAGACTGTGACACAAATATCAAAAAGTGCCATTTTTATATCATATTGAATTTCTTGATAATTGCAGTTTCATTTTGGATATATTTTCAAAGATAGTGTCTCACTCTCTTGTTGCGTACTTTTTTTTTAGGTACATACCGAATTTATTTATTTAATATATGTACCTAAGTACCCACGTATCTTCTTATTCACCATGTACGCAAATGTAAAGGCTTTAAAAAAATGATACATCATCAATTAAACCTTTAAAATATTTATATTACTATAATTAGTCAGCTTTATAAATTGACTGTTTCAAATTTTATCATAAACACGAAAACAAACAACATGTTTATTTTTTTTACTTTGACTTTGTGTTTAATTTTTATGTCTGTATGTCTGCCAAAGATATATTAAACAAATATTACTAGCCAGCACTAATATACTAATATTTTTATTAAAAGAGGCCAATATGAACATAATATTTTTATAGGTACTTACAATAAATCGTCAATAATCAATACTAAGTATAGCCAGTATAGATTTTAATAATATAAACCGATATTAATATTATAAGAATAATATATACGTTTATTAATCAATACGTTCAGCACTTCTGAACGATACCTACTCGCTTATGTTTCCGTAATTAGGCGAATATATATACCTTGAGGAAAAACAGTTATTTGATACCAAGGATTTTGTCACTTTCGTGTATAATACTGTATTTATTTCCTTCTCGACTAATCCTGATTTTTGTGTGACGAACATTCGTCAAAATTTCAAAATGCACACCTACACCGTCGACTGATCAGGATGTGTGAAACAAAACGCACATTGTGCACGACCTGAACTGCTGAGTATATATTATAATATTTAGATGACTACTGCCAGTTGCCTTGCGTGATACCAGCCGAATAGCATCTGTATGCACAACAGCTTCCATTTGCCATTCAAATTTTATGTATTAATATGATTGAAACCCGTCGAAATTTATAATCTGTAAACTTTTTTTTTTATATATATCGTTCTCATTCAAGAAATATTCTGATCGTGAAAAATGCACCAGAGTGGACGTGACGCTACCCATGCCGCCTCAAGCCACCACGTTGGACGTCACCAACTGCATTTAACACACAGACACAACACTACTAATAACACAGTATCTACACGTCATATATTGTAATAAATATTAATAATACTATAGTTATTCACGATAATCGCCGCGATGTAGGTACATATAAGCAGCAGTCATGTGGATTAACATCGCCCCTCCTCCCTCCGCCACAACCGGCAGAAAGTCATGTCTAGGGCATTAAGGCGTGTACCGGGATTAAACGTTGACGACGTAATAATATATTATGTGCTTAACTATTAATAATACATTATTTACCTGGGTTACGCGTGATGTGTGAACACAATGGCGTAGAAGTTAGAATACGTCTGTTCTCGAAATCCTGCATGTACGAAGTCTCTGTCGTAAGATTTTCTATAACTACCTATCATAAAACATAGTTTAACCGACGACTGAAGCAGCGAGTCATTACTATCTACACACTTATCAATACACACGCAAACACCCTGTTTGTATAGACAGACATTTTAAGTATAAGTACACCCAAATCAGTCGATATCTCTGTGTGTAGATAGGTACATATGCAAATTATGCCATCGTCACGTCTTACAAGTGCAATTTCAAACGCCGTAGTTTATAATATTATGTTGTTTAACGACTGTCTAAACTTTGAATGTACTGAGTAGTACAATAAGATTTTACTGGTTGTCCTCTGCTATACCACCCGCCGCCTCGTGCTCTACTATAACACAATACGACCGCGCTTTAATTTAATTTAAATATTATATTTGGTAGATACTAAAAAGCGACTTCTGAAATTCTAATAGCACCTGTGCGTATGTCGTTAAAAAGTAAAAACGAATAGTCGATAATTGTATTTTAGAACTCGACACAAATTTAGAATAATAATATCTAATAATAATTCAAAAGCGGTCATAGAAAATAGCTTCAACGTGATAATAATATAACTGAAGGGTTGAGTGAATACAAAGTTTTCGTGTGACATTACCATAGATAGGTTTTTTTTCTAACTTTTCACATCTTTGTCAGTATGTCGCGTGGCGACACGCGTAGTGTAATGATATCGGCTTTATCTGCAACGCGTATCTATATCTCTAAAAATTATAATTCAAATGACTTAAAACTGTAACACGCATGTTAACACATTCACCTTCGGTTCTCTATGCCAAATGAGTACAATAACCCTGCTAACCAACATTTTACGTTTGTTTTCAATTCAATTACCGTAACTTTTTTTAATTAATACCAAACAAGGTAAATGGTTATACACGACCTACATTATAGTACGTGTGTGAATAAATGATGTCTCACGTGAACGAAATGTAGACCGCACTAATTTAATAATAATAATATATTAAATCTCCGTCCAATTGTGTATAATTTAAATACGTATATTGTTATTATTATTATTATTATTATTTTGTATAACTATAGTATCAGCTAGTCAATCGTGTAACTATACTAACACACTACACACACACGCAACGCCGAGTCTTATTAATTGTATTTCGTGTACGAGATGATTCCCCGAGTATACCTAGTCTCCCTAATTTTTTTTTCATTTAACAATGCGAATTTAATCAAATCTGAGTTTTTAAAGTCTTTAAGTATACCTACCTACTTAAGGTCCGGCTATATTTTCCATTTATTTTTTATTTTTGTCCAATTTTATGAGAGACCTGTAGTAATTTAAGATTATTTGTTTCAAATGAGAATCCAAAAATAGGAATTCTCTACTCTATCATCACATAAGTCTCCTTGAGTATAGATAAAAATTCCAAAAATCAAAAATTGAATAAATTTGTTGCTACAGAAAAATTGGGGCGATCGCTGAAAATGTTTCAATTGCCGTACAACATACGGGAGGTCTTAAAAATAAATATAATGCGCACGAATTGTCATTTTATACGAATCAAAAACCAACGACGAATGTCGAGTCGACCGAATTTTGTTAATGACTATTTAAGGCGCGGGTAATAACGTGAGCTATGATGACTGACGATCGGTCGTTTAAAAATAATTTTGTTCTGGTCATAAGACCGAATTTATCGTATTTCAGTTTGTTTTAACGAAAAGTTATTTGTTTTCCTTTTTAAAATACTTTTTACTCTTTTTCCGAGTACTATTAACCTCGAGCGTGTGCGTACCGCGGGGCGTTTGTGTTGAGTTAACTGCACTTTTGTAAAAAGTAACAAGACACCGGTAACAACCTGCTTTCTGTTCCAGTAGATAGGTACTCGTTATTACCGCGGTCAGTCGTTCGAGAATAAGCCGACCACTTTAGAATTGTAAAATGTAAATCCTGCGGGGTCTTGTCAATTAATTATCGTTTGGTACGGTACTCGCCATCGTGGTCATTAAAATAAGGATAATCATTTAACCTTTTGCCATGGACATCAACATGTTTTAATAATCGTTTGATGATGATTTTTGGTAACCGGAAACCGAAAAATATCCCCGTCACGCACGTCAAGTCTTGGCGTGACATATACGATTCGGCGTTTGGTGAATCATCTCGTATACGCCGCGATTATAACTGTTTAACGTATTTTTGTTTATTTGTGTTTGGCACAACGTGCCTAGTACTTCCTACTCAATCACTTGCCGAAAATGTAGTGTTCAAAAAAGTGGATAAAGGTCCTACTTATACTACGACCTGCCCATGAAATTATGACATTCGATATGAATACGACAGCAGACGGTATATCGATTGTTAACATAATATTATATTAAATATAGTAGTGGGTCAGTCACGAACATAATATATTAAATATAAGTATTGTAAATTATGTAATATTGCATAACAATGCCTGCTTACTCCAGTACTGCGATGCGTCCTGTTTGATTTTCTAATGCCTGTGTAGACATTTTCAAATGGATCGTTAGTATTGATGTGACTACGGTCAACACGCTGCAATGAAGAGGGGGGGGGGGTTATACACGACCCCTACAAAAAATTAATACGTACAGCGTGTAACACTAATCTGTTTATATAAAAAATTTACGTCAAGCCTTTAAAAAACTGAAAAAAAAAGTTTGAGGGGGCTAAACCGTTTCTGGTAATAGATCTGCAGTTGATTATATTCATTTATTTATTTGTACACCAGCATACTATAATATATATACAAACCTAAGTATTTGACTTATCTAAAAAGGCTTACAAGACGTGTGTTTACTTTAACAATTTGTCAATTTTCGGCGTATCTTGTAAAAATATTTAGTGTAATTAACAATTTAGTGTTAACATTTGTAACAATCAATTTTTTTTATCATAATACGGCTTTCTCTGGGAAAATAATACAAATATTTTTAACGAAATCAATAAATAATATACAATCATTTTAACATGGGTAGTAGCGGGATAGATTAGGGAGTATAATAGAGCTGGTCTTTTCGATATGACCGTATTAACTGAGCATTTAAATGCCATGATTATTTTTCTCAAATTCTTTGTGTCAAAATGCCTATATCGTTCAACCTCATACGTTTTAGTGTATGAGTTTGACATGTTAAGAATAATAATTAGTAGAAAATTACCTAATTATCATTTAAGGGTTATGTTAAATTACATAAATAAGTATAAGAAAAGTATCAGTATTAAAAGTTATAACATTATATGGCTGAATTACCTAATTTGTGAAAGATATATTTTTTAATGTAATTGTAAGACTTAATTAATGGTTTATATAAATCATATAATATAATAACTGTTACCTATGTATACTAGTTTAAGAGTACGAATAAACATTTTATTTGCTAAAAATAAAATGTTGTTGACTATTATGTAAATTCTGTTTGTGTCAGTATTTAATAAAATATTATAACTTATGTTAATATATATAATTTATTGTTGTGTTTTCTCTCATTCATATTATAATTTATAAAGTATTACACGATTGGTACAATTAATTTAATGAAAAATATAAAATCTGTTCATTAAGATAATTTTACTAGAATCATTTATTGCAAGGATGTACTTGGATAGTGGGTACTTGATTTCTTTAAAATTTACATTAAAATATTATTCTTCTCCAATTCTGAAATAATCGTTATTTTAAGATTATAATGATTATATTTATATAGCGAATATACAATAATTTTTTTTTTTTTTAATTTTAAATTGAGACTCTTACAATAATAATTCTATCTTTACCAATAAATAACATCCTTATATTTTAAAAAATATTAATTAAAAACCAAAAAAAAGCACATGTTGCAAAGTCTACAATTTATAATTATAAATATAAATACTGCATGATGAATGCAATTTAAAAAGATATTTAAATCTTTAAAAATTTTTTAAAGATTAACTCAAAAAAAATTGATAATAAAGAGAGAAGATATTATTTAGTATTATTCTGTTTAATAAAATAGAATATAGCAGGCACATACACAAAAAAATATTTTGGGGGGGTTTGGTTGTAAATTTTTATTCTTATATAATCTAACTTAACGTGTAGCCTAACAAGAAGTGTTTGGTCCGATTGACGATTGTAGATAGTGATCAAGTACTAAACGAGAAATGTAATTCATATATTACGATAAAACTTTCCTGAAATTTGGGGTTAAACCCCTAGACCCCCCTTGTATACGCGCCTGAAATATAGATACTAGATAATCAGCTAGAAAATAAGTGTCTGTAAATCAAAGAAACCATCTCTAAAGTCATGAGAGTACATGCAGGACTGTAGTAAAACTTCTTAATTTTTCACATTACAACAGAGAGCGCCTAATTTATTCATTGTATTAAATTTAATACAATGATATTAAAATATTATTTTATTTTTTATTTTTTTATGTAATATTATATAAATGTGTATCTAAATAATTAAAAATTAAAATGATATTAAATATATTTTTTAATAATACATAAATATTAGACAGTTTAATTACAATAGGGATAAAGTAATATTTATAATTATAAGGAACACAATATGAGGATCTTATAGCCAATATTGTATTAGTTCAATTAATTTGCTTTATTCCTAAACAAGAAGCGGATAGTTGTTGATACTCCAAATAAGTTCATAGCCTAAAACAAAATTAAAACATTAAAATATCTTTTTATTTCATGTGATATAGAATGTAAAAATTAATTAACCATAGTTTAAAAATTTTAAGAACTTAAAATGGTAATTGGTGTGTGAACTGAATAGTATAAGAAAATAAATAGGTTTACATTTTGAATACCTAGCTTATATATATATATATATATATATATATTGCAGACTGATTCTTGAAAATGGCTTTATAACAGAAATATATTAATGCCACCATAAAAATACATTCAGGAAAATTATAAAATATTTTTAGTTTTCTATGAACATACATTACGTACATAAGAAAAAATATAATGTTCCATGCATTAAAATTGTAATTTATATGAAAGCTGCTACAAGTCTAAAATGTTTAACTTGCAGCATCAGCATACCAAACTTATGAAAATTCTATAGTTAAACCGCCTATATTCAAAAATTATTAGCCCCCTTCCCCAAAAACAATAGTTGAAAATTTATTGTAAAATATTTTTTAATAAATAATAACCAGCTAACCCTATTATTTTTCAATTGAATCATTAAATACAAAAGAAACGAATTTTCAATTTTAAGCTTTTTTTATTTTTTATTTTTGAAATTTTAAATAAGTATTCAATGAAAAAATGGGTTTGCCAAAAATAATTAGAATATGTATTAAAAATTCTAACAGATATGCGAAATATGTAAAATATTAGTTGAACAAGACAAAATGATAAAATGTTACTGTAAATCTTGAAATAAATTACTATATCACCCAGAATTAAATATAACTAAGCAAGATTATTACGCATTCACATTAAACTCAAAAGCCCTAGTAACAATATTATATTTTTAAATATAGTTAAAAATTAATAGCTCAGTTAACTGATATCCAAAAATTATAGCAGTTGAGACAGCACATTAATCAATTAATAGTCATGTCAAAATTTCTAGTATATAATTAACACTTCTATGCACAATACTATACTATTATTCAAAAAATAAAAGTTCTCAACTTATATTAGCCCATATATTCTTAAAAAAAAATAATGATTTTTTACTAATAAATAATTTAATTTAACAAGACTTTTTGGACACTGGCGTTTTTTTTTTTTTTCATCAGAACTGAAAAATATTACAGTATTATACTTACTTCTAAAACATCTTTGTTGAAAGGTGACGAATGATGTTCCCATTTCATCAGTTCATTAACACGTAGTGGTGCTTCAGATTTTTTGTCATAACATTCAAACGTACTACTATCACTAAGAACTATACCTTTTCCACCACAATTACATTCCAATAAATCATGTGTTGAGCATAAAGCATCTTTTTTGAAATTAAATAAATCCTAATAAATAATATGTTAATATTTTAAATTCAGTAAAATTCTGAAAAATCCAATCATACTTTAAGTTGATCAAATGATAGTTTTGTATTATTTTGATTATCAGGATTTGTGATGGCTTCACTCAAACCAGTTTTACTAATTTGTCTTTGGAATATCTTTTCTTCAATAGTACCACTTGTTAGTAGCCTATAGATGTGAACATTTTTTTTTTGACCGTCTCTCCAAATTCTAGCCATAGCTTGTTGGTCAGAAGCTGGATTCCAATCAGAGTCATACAAAATCAAATTAGATGCACCAACAAGATTCAGACCAACACCACCTGCTTTAGCACTCAATAAGAGAACACCTAAAAATAAATTCATCATACTTAATATAAAATTAATTTACAACAAATGTCTGTTTATAAAAATTATTAAGTACTATAATTGGAATTTGAATCATTAAATTTTTTAACTATATCAGTCCGTTGAGCAGTAGCAGTAGATCCATCAAGTCTCAAATATTTGTAATGTTTCATATCGCATAACTTCACAAATATATCTAAAGTTTGAGTATAATATGATATCAAAACTATTTTTTCAGAACCATTTTTATGTAACTCTTTTAATAAGTTGTCAACAACTATAAGCTTTCCTGAACTTTCTATTAATGAATGTTTTATAACAATAGTGCGATTTAAATGTTGACTTAGTGTCTCCTAAAAAAAATTAATTATATACCTATTGTTTATAACTTCAAATTTATTTTTTACACATAAACAATAATTCTTCATACTTCAGAGGTATCGTTGTTATAATGGTTGTTCAGTAATAATTCTGGATGGTTGCAAACTTTCTTTAACATAGTAATGACACTGAAGTGTGAAATAGTACTAAGGCCAAATTCTTGAACACGATTTTCCCAGTATGAAACAGTTTCTTCATATAAACGGCACTAAGATATTATTTACATTAAACAAACAATTTATTCAAATATCAATGATGATTACCTGAATAGGAGCCATTGCACAGAATACTACAGATTCATATTTAGAAGGCAGATATTTGTTATTAACATCTTGAGTCCTTCTTAAAATAAATTTTTCAGTTACTTCATTAAGATCTGAAGCTTTTTGCTTTCCAAGAGAAATTAATTGTGGATGGCATTCTGGTTGTTGAGATTCAACAATTTTATCCTCAAACTCGCGTTTAAACATTGAATAAGTTCCCAATATTCCAGGATTAACAAAGTCTATTAGTGCATAAAATTCAGCAAGCTCATTTTGTATCGGTGTACCAGTCAATAAAACTCTTCTTTTACATTCTATCTTTCTTAATGCTAATGATGTATTAGTACTATTATTTTTTAATCGATGGCCCTCATCACATACCATTAAATCAAAATGTATTTTTTCGATTTCTTCAATGTAACGCACTAACATTTCATATGAAGTTATCATTACTGGATAGCTTCGAGCAGGTAATCTAGCAAACTCTGAAGGTTTTTTTTTCTAAAAGTTTTAAAAAAAAAAAACACATATTTTATATCAAATGTATAACCAATTAGGTATATAAATGCATGAACATAACTTACTTGATCCACAGAAAACAGCCTTAGTCTATCCCTTCCTAACCATCTTATAAATTCATTTTCCCAATTTCCAACGAGACTACTAGGAGCAACTATCAGTACTCTTTTAGCCAATGGTATACCTCCATATGGTCCTCGCTTCAGTAACATCCTACATTAAAATATGTCAAGCAAATCAAATTGCGACCAATGAAATAGATATAATATACATACCAAACCAAACAAATAGTTTGTAATGTTTTGCCAAGGCCCATTTCATCAGCTAATATAGCACCAAAATATTCTTGAGCTTTAAATCCAGAAACACATTCATACAAAAAAATAATGCCAGTTTTTTGATGAGGTCTTAAATGTTTTGCCAAAAAGGGTTCAAGCACAACTGGAGTGATTTCTTCTTTTTTTTTGTTGAAGAAAGACTTTATATTTAATGAATAAACAACACAATAAACATTCAATTATAATTTTATTTTGACTTATTTACTTGATGATCAATATTGGGATTAGGCATGATTAGTGCATCAGGAGAACTAATATCAACCGATATTTTTGGTCGTTTACGTAGAGGTCCTGTGCATGAAATAACAGTTGATTTTTCAATCGCTGGAGTATCAAATTCAGTAACTAAATCTAATACTTGGACTTGCTTACTACCAACAACAATTATTGAACCATCTTCCAAATCTAAGGATTTTAAATCACTAGTAGTACCTAACTTATGATCATTTAAATCCTAAAATTATAATTATAATAAATAAAAAAATTATAAATATTTAGTATTAATTATTACATAAAGTTCTG